TTTTTTTTTTTTTTTTTTTTTATTTTGCTGAAACTATTTAAAAATTCATGTAGCACATTAATTGATGAAATGACATGCGTTTTAGTTGAAAATTATTCAAATTTTTACACTTTTTCTTCTCTCTTATGCAGTTTATTTTTAAATGTTAAAATGTAGTAAGTTTACTTAATTTTCTTCCTGAAAACAGTTAATAACGATGAAATTGTACATGTAAAAGTTGCACCGTTGTTGGTATATTCCGTTAGCCTTGAGACATCGTCATTTGCCGTTCTGTATTTCACGTGCCTGCCTGGAACGAATAAATATAGAGTGTGTCTGAAAAGTTTTGAAGTTGCGTAAATAAGGAAGCGAACAAGAACGACGTACGTATATACATATGCCACAATTTATTCTAACATTTCGTCGCTGATATACAGACTGATCGAACAACCTGTAAAAGTTTTCCTTAACGTTATAAATTTTAAAGGACAGTGAGATAGAGTGTCGTAAAGATTTGTTTACCTCTGTATTTCACTATTTCTGAGTGTATCACTTTTACGTAATGTTAAAATACTGATTCACTCACCAAAAATAATGACACTCAAAGTCCACATCTTGTAGATATCATTTGTAGTTTATAAAAAGTCATTTCGATTGTGCCTTATCTTCGCAGTGCAGATTTCCAAAATTATCTCCCACCCAAGGTATCCGAATTTTCAAAATATCTACCGACACACGTCACGTACATTTCTCAGCATTTTCGTTCCTTCCTTCCTTTCTGGTGGATCCGCAGTATCGGATGCGAAGTTTGACCGATTCGCGACGATACGTCAGCTGGAAAATCTATTCCCGGCTTTTCACTCGGGCCTGGAATTTTTCCGACACACCGTGTATAGATTTTTGGCAGGGTCCTCCTCCTGTTCTTAGCCGGTGACTTTTCGTTTCTTCGACGCTCTAGATCCGCGCGTCCACGTGCAAACGGCGCAGACTCGACTCGTTCCTCTTCCTTTGGCAAAGGTGTGTATGCCAGCCAGAAGGCCTTCAGTCTGACGTTAAACGTTCAATTCCGCGGATGGCTATTGCGTCGCTTCGACAGTACAAAACACCCACGCGTTCACCCGCTCCGTTTGTCCGAAACACATCGAACGCCGCTCCTCCTCGTTTCGCGATTTCCTTCGGCCTGACGGCTCGACTTCCGCTCAATCGTTTCTGACGATCGTTCGCGTTCTCCGGAATCCATCTCGTTGGTGGTGGCCGTCGATCGATTTGTAAATCGACGCGTACGATCGCGTCTTTTGTGCGGCGTGAATTTTTAATTTCTCTACATTTTCCATTTTGCACGCTCGGATTCACATCAGAGAAGTGATTGATTAGATCGTATGATTATTCGAGGTTCTTAACAATGATAACTATGATCAGCGCGACATTCTCATTTTAACCGGAATTTTAACCGACAGTAATTAAGCACCAGCGGTTGAAAATTGGAGGGAACCAGAGTAGGTTTTTAATTCAAGAATGAACAGACGATGATTGTGAAACGTTGGCAACATTTAAATACACATCAGGGTTAAAAACGTTGCAATGAACGGAGCTGGGTTATTGCTTTAAGTTTTTCGGCGTTCGAATAAGATCTTGAGAGTGAGTCGATTTCATTAGTTTTGTTTTTTTATGGGGTGTTTTTAGATAAATTAAATTATTTTGCAACAAAGAGACCTTCGTAATTTTTGCCGAAAAATGATTTTCGAATCATTGCCTGGTGATTTCAATGCCTTTTCGTCGAGCAATGAATAATGAAATCTTTCACATAGTTTTTAAACATACCTCGTAATACATATGAATACCGTGCACAAGTCTAGATTAGTCTATATCTTTAAAAGGTAAAAATTGAATTGAAACATATAGCTGGCTTTGAAATCGTGGAATTTAGGAAACATGTGTAGAGTGAGCATGATTGTACAGAGCATGCTAGCATCGTGAGATAAAAATATTTAAATTAGTAAAATTAAAGGAAGTTGGAATTATTTCTGAACTACGCATCTGGATGTCACTCGTTTTAACCGCGCACAACATTGTGTCATTTGTACAGTACACATCGCGTTATAAATTGCTTAATCGTAATTTCAACAATCCTTTATTGAAACGTTTTCAGTAACATGAGATGAAAATTGAGAATTTTCAAAGCACGCACGAACGAGAAGAGTGCATATCTTTTAAATAATCTATTAGTTAGAAAAATCTTATTGTAACGCAAAAGAAACCAACAAATCAACCATTGCCGACTTTTCATAGTCATCTATAAATCTTGAGATATTAATATTTTATCGAACTCGTTCGTTTTGTCCTAATGTTATAATGTCCACACTATAGTTCACAATTTCCCAAAGTCGCCCATTATCGCTAACAATAACATCATTGAAATCATTACCTCGTAATTAGCTGTGCTTCTCCTTTCTTCTACGTATAACTCGTTTATTCAGAATCCAAACCGAATTCATTACGTTTTTTTTTGGGAAGATGTTTGAACGAGTCAGAGATCACTTGTCGCGAATTTGTTCATCGAGAATCAGTCTGCGAGCAAGAATAGATGCATAGATGAACGTGATAATGTACTTTGGAGTAATTGTATTTTTTTAATCACTCTGGTTCGAATTGAACGCGTGCATTTAAAAAGCAAAGAATCTGTCGTCCAACTTCCTTCTTTTTTATTGGATATAAAATTCTTCAGAAGAACTTATATCTTCTGTTAACATGGAACTGGATTCACTGGTTCTTTCATTAGTACGCACTTTTCAGAAGCAAATTTTGATAAAAAGTTTAATATCCGAAGGAATGTATTTAAATTGGAGATAATATTTTGGCTTTGTGATTCTAGACACGACATACGCTATTAATTGCAATTTTTATTAGTCACTGTATATTCACGAGTATAAGTCAAATCACATCATTTTTATCATTGATTTAGTCAAATCAATAATTTTTATTGGTCACCATATTCACGAGTATAAGTCAATCACAATTATAATTCTTATATCTAAGAATTTAAGTGAATAGCCAATTTTTAATAAAGGCGTGGGAAAATGGCTATTGCTTCGAATCCAATAAATCTGCAATTGCTCTCGAAACGAATTAGGTTCCTCGACTTCCCTTTTT